AAGGCCTGAATTTTTTAGTAACGCGGTTATTTTGCAAGTTCAAACAGTTCCAAACAAAGGAAAGTAAAAACTTTGCGATTGTGAGAGATGAAGAAGAAAGAAACTCTGATCTTGTTTGTACTTGCAAAATGATACTTACCAGCTTTCGCGATTGAGTATTCGCGAAGCTCTCAGATTGAAACCGAGCTTATGTACCTACTCGTACGTTTATTGTTGTTACATTATATACCAACGTAATTTTATCAGATATTAAAGTGCTACTTAGTCTATAATTAAGTCTATATAAACGTAAGATGTCATCACGATGTTATGTAAACGCACGATGCGTAGATCTGTTTGTTTTAGCTGCACTTATAGTTTCTACATTCAAAATGAAATAACTATATATTTATACATTCACACATATGCATGGATTCAGATATATTCAGATATATTCAGATATATTCTATAACTTTTAGATTTCTATAAGAATTGCAATCTTTAAAAAGACATTGGACAATGTTTTTTTTGTAATCTTTCAAATTTCAAAATCAACTTTATTATTTTAAAAACTTTTATATTTTTTATAGATGCGGATGCTACGCTTTAAATTCACTAATTTTGACTCAAGACATTTTTAGATCTGATAAATATTTTGAAAGATATTCGTGAAAAATGATTATATATCCTTAAAACTGTGCTGATCAGATCAATCATTCATGATATTGTTTATAATCAACAATATAGATATAATGATATTGATTCCATATTTATGTACGTCATCTTATAAAATTAGAAATAATAAAAACTATGATTAATACTATGCATAAGAATAGTATCAATAGTACAAATTTTTCTTAATAACAAATGAATTTCGAGTATCGTATAAGATTAAAAATTAATGGGAAAAATTTTTGATCATTTATTCTATGACAGACAGACATACATACAAAGAAAGGATTTGGAGTTATTAAATACTGTGTTGTGATACATAAATCGTAGGGTGTGAATCTATACCTGTAACACATTGATATACACATATACACATATATACAGGTAGAGAGGGTTTGGAGTCATTAAATACCATGGAAGTGACGAATCATGGGGTCCTAATCTGTACCTATGACATGCACACAACACACGAAATCAATATTCATGTTGTTGATTCTAGATAATATCAAGAGCTGATTGCTTAGTCAATATAGTTTTAAGAATTTGTAGTGATTTTTCATAAATATTTTCTGATATTTATCATATCAGAAAATGTCTTTGATCAAAATTATTTGGACCTTAATGTGGAGGATCTAATATCAAAATATATACAGGTTTTAATTTAAAAGGATTAAACTAATCTCAAAGTGATTTTTAGGAAGTCATTTTACGAGAAAAGCGATAATGTAAAGCGATTTTCTTCTAAAAGCTTCCCTTTTAATATTTTTATATTTCTTTTTCCGTTGGCTCAACTTTTTTTTCACGTTGGCTCAATTTTGTCAATTATGACATTTTATATGAAAATAAGGATCGTGTTATACATAATTCAAATTTACATATGTCCTTATTATAGGATATCATTATAAATTCGAATGTATAAATTATGTTGGTTTCGATCAAATGAGAAAAGAGCGAAACAATAAACTGTAAAAAGTGCAATTAAAGCGACTTGATCTAATTTTGTACTCGAGATCCGTATGACCTATTCTACACGAAATACATACGCGTTATTTATACATATAAGACATGTTATTTGTCTTAAAACACGTATGTAATTCGCGTACTTTAATAATATATGATAGTACGCCGTTGTCAGACAAAGGAATGAAGATTTTTAATGAAATGACAGTACATTTTATATAGTAATGTCAAGGAAATGCCTGAACATACACGTCGATTAAATTTTGCTCATATGTCGAGATAATGAAGTATTTTGTGCGATAAAAAGCTTTGCACATTAGTTTAACAACCGACAACATTACTATCTACTTTGTTAGGTTTTACATATCTATCATTGTACATAAACATACGTAGATATATATGCAAATACGTATAGATAAATATATATAAATATAGATACACTTATACATATATATATATATCTAATTATTATCTATTTTTGTTACATGTTTATAAATGAAAAAAACGTATTCTGTCATAGGATACCAAATGTAACATACAGAAATTTTAGCGAAGGATTTAAGCATCGTGTAAAAGCTACTATTGGTATAATTTAGAACATTTATTGTCTATGTTGTTAAACTTAATGAGTTGACAAAATCGAAATCATACATATGAGTTATGTTTAGGTTTTTCTTCTTTTTTTTTTATATAATCGAACGATCGTATAATTTAGTTGAATAATGCGTAGCTTTTAAGATCAACGTTTACTATTTTACCAATACATCGATCATGACAAAATTATATCGATGAAATTATTACTATGACGAGCACTCGCATTGAGGCAGTAAATGTTGACCGTTGCTTTTCTCTTCTTTTAAATTTCAATGAATGATCCACGATTTATCCTTGTTTGTGTATTCTTGCAGATGGATAAGAATGAATTTTTACGCTTGTAACGAAACCACTTAGTGCAATGACTTAACGGAGGTTTGAATGAATTTGTGTATATGTATTACAGATCGTGATTTCTTTTTTACATATAATGTAATTCTGTCCACATACGTGCATACACCGTCAATTACAAACTTAGAACATACATGACGTTCTAAGATTACAAAACACAAAGTTATATTGCCTACTACACAGCGACGTGATATATATACACGATTTTTTAACGAATTTCCCTTTAGTATTCTGTTTTAGAGTAATGGTTTGTTATCAAGTTAGTTTATCGAATCGTTGCTGTAATTTACCAGCATGATTGTTAATGTTATTTCATATCATATTATTGCAAGTGCAATCCATACACATTGTATCATTAGAGAACACATACACAATCGATATACCATTTCGTCACAATTAATAGCACTATTGATTACGTACGTCGATCGAATTTTTATTACTTTGAAGAAAGATTTTGTACAGAACATTGTAAAATATATTTTTAACGCTTTTCTCCTCTCTCTTTCTCTCTCTCATTTTCATTTGGTTTTTTATTATTTATGTCGCGCGCAAATCTCTCGCCTCTGCCGCATTTGTATAAATACGCTCTACTGTTATACTATTGTGATGCCATTATGCGTAAATGCCATGCCGTCGAGCCTTGCCATTTCGTCATTCATTCGTAGAGAGAGAAGAGAGCCCAAAGCTAATTTACTTTACTTTTTCAATACTCACATGTGGATCGCGCCGTACGCGAGAGAGAAACCTTTCTGTAAACTAACAACGATGTTTTCGATATACGCCGGAGAGAAAAGCCATTAGTTTGTAATCATTAAGCTGAA